TTGCCTGACAAGTAGAAACCCACCGTTGTGTCTTAGATGACTACTGGAAAGCTAAGACCCCAGATGCTACTCAGTTCACTAGGATGCATATCATGATTTTTGTGAACTAAGTTAAACTAAGTTGCCCCATGAAACTGTAGCCCTAAGCCTTTAAACCCAGAAAGCCAGTTTTGGAAGGTGTTTGGTTTTATGTGAGAACTTCCCGTTTTTGTGTGCTTGTACCACATATTTGTATTCACACATATTCATAGATTGCTTTGTGGGATAAACTCCAGACTACTAACTGCTAGGTCAGCAGTTCAGTTCACCAGCTGCTTTGCAGGAGAAATATGAGGCTTTCTGCTCCTGTAAAGATTTTCGGAAACTTTATAGAGGGTTGCTGTGAGTCAGAATCAACTTGACTGTAGTGCATTTGTTTGTTATAGATACTTTTATTTGTTCTTACCTATGTACTTATATGTACCTACCCATATACCAAGCAGCTCTGGTAGTGTAGTGGTTACGAGTCGGGCTGCCAACCTTAAGGTCAGCAGTTCAAAACTACCAGCGGTTCCATGGAAGAAAGATGAGGTGTTCTGCTCCGATAAAAATTGACAGCCTCGGAACCCTGTGCAGGGTCACTATGAGTCGGAACTGACTCCACGGTACTTAACAACAACAACAGCCACTCATATACCAGTATGCTCGTATACATCCATAAGTGCTTAAACAGTTGCTTTTACTTTGGTTAACTAGAGTTCATATGTTGGAACTTTTGAGTTAGAATGAGAAGTCAGAACAGAATTTTGAATATTAATCTGGCAGTGCTTTATGAAGTGGACCAAAGAGAGAAGATACTGTAAGCAGGGATAAGAAGAAGTTCTCATGCTAGTCTCTAGTTATGAAGTAATAAGGGGTTGACTTTTTGCAGTAAGTACGAATGGAGAGAATGGGGTGAATAAAATAAAAATTTTAAAGGAAGAATGGTATATGGGAAGTTAGGAAAGAAAATGGAGAATGTTTTTGGGTTCAAAGTGTAGAGGAATAGGAAGTGTAATACTGGTATCAGTCCTGAAGGTGGTGAGTCAGGAGCATAAAAAAAGCAGAGATGGTGAATTTGGTTTAAGATAATTTAAATATAGTGTTGAGGTAGACTTACTTACTGGACAGTTGCAGATCCAGGATGAGAATATGAGAATGAATACTCTTGTTGATGTGCTACTTTAGTGATATGAATTTTTATCATTATAAAGAATAAAATCTAAGAGTAAAATATTGAAAATGTGTGATATGTGTTGCCTTGTAGCAGGCTCCTTATTATTTCTCAGAAGTTATCAATATTATCAGTTTGCTGTATCTGTGTTGATTTTTCTCTATATATTTATATCTACCTATCTTCTTTGTGGCATTATAAACATATTGCTAATACATTTTCCCATTTCATTTGGGGTAGATCTTATGTATCCTCTTTAAATCATAGAATGTTGTTGTTGTTAAGTGCCATCCAGTCAATTGCAATTCACAGAGACTCTGTATAGGGTTTCCAAGGAGTGGCTGGTGGGTTTGAACCACTGACCTTGTAGTTAGCAGTTCACTGCTTATCTTAGAGTTATACACATATGCAAATACACATATGTGTGCATGGAAACTAAAATTTAAGATGATGCAATGGTGGTGGTAATTAATTAAGGAATATTTTGAAATTGAGAGTCCTGAAAGATAATCCTAAACTCCCCCCTATGAGAAATAACTTGTGTGGTTGGTCCACCTTCAGGAATTCATGAGATTGCAAGACCTGGCAGACACGTTGTTGATTTAAGCAGCCTGTTGATTTAAGCAGCCTATTCTGGAGTCCTGGTGTGGTGCTGTGGGTTAATACGCCAGACTGCAAAACCGGTTGACTGCAAGGTTGGTGGTTCAAGCTTACCATCTGCTTCTTGGAAACCCTATACAGGGTCGCTATGGGTCAGAATCTACTAGGTGGCAATTAAAAACAACAACTTTCTGGGACTAGGAAATTTAAATAAAAATACAGCCATTAAGACCTTGGGCAAGCCATTTTGGCCTCTCTGAGGGTAGGGAAAATGGGATGTACCATAGAATTGTATATGGAGAACTGGAACTGGAGGAGGGGCTTCTGGGGGGACAAGAATAAAAATCATTTGTGGAGGGCCATGTGGCACATCTGCCCATGTCTATGGGGCTGGGCTCTCGATTTTGCAAAATCAAATAAAGAAAACCTCACTGTCACTAAAATGAGTACAGATTGAATTCCTTGAGCGTTTGTAAGTATAGACATTTCTCACGCCCCACCCCCACCCCCAAAGACTCTAAAACCACTGATATCAAGTCCATTCTAACGTACAGTGGCCCTGTAAGACAGAGGAGAGCTGTTCCATAGCATTTCCAAGGCTGTCAATCTTTATGGAAGCACACTGTGTCACTTTCTCCCCCGTGGAGCTGTTGGCCTATTCAAACTGCCATCCTTTCAGTTAGTAACCCAATGCTTAACCCACGGTACCACCCGAACTCCTAAGATAATTCTAGAAGATTTAGATACCAAAAGGGAAGAAATAACATCACTTTAACCTTATTTTCTAAAAATGTTCATACCTTAGTGAATTTTATTTCCATAGGGACTTAATTTTCAATTTAAAGTATGTCATAGTAATGTAGTTTACTGTCCACTAGAATAAAAAAGAAAAATAGCATTTAACTTAGAAGTCTTTTTTTTTTTTTTCTAGTTGTAGGACTAAAATTTTGTTTGTACTGTTAAAAAGTCATGAAATGTTATTTTATGTTTCTATCTCCTAAATATTACTTTGGGCCAAAGAGCAGTATGAAAATTACAAGCCAGTTGGATGACCCACTTCATTATTTTTTTGGCAAATATATACTTTTGCGTAGTGGTTACGAATCGGGCTGTGAACCGCAAGGTCAGCAGTTCGAAACTATCAGCGGTTCTGCGGGAGAAAGATGAGGCGTTCTGCTCCCGTAAAGATTTACAGCCTCGGAAACCCTGTGCAGGGTCGCTATGAGTCGGAACCGACTCCAAGGCACTCAACAACAACAACAACAACATACTTTTGACAGGCTAATGTGGCACCTGCTACCAAAAGTGTACTCTATATTTGCAAAGGTTGAATCCTAGTGCATGTTTAACATGAAAGCAAGGAGTGTCCTTGTAGGACTTTTCCCCTCTGCTAAATTATAATTTGAAAGGAAACCAAAGCGGCCCCAATTATAGTTTGAAAGTCTTCTTAATATGTAATATGCAAGGAGCCCTGGTGGCACTGATGATTAAGCACTCTTCTGATGACTGAATGCTAACTGAAAAGTTTGCGGTTGGAACTTACCCATTGGATTTGTGGGAGTAAAACCTGGCCGTCTGCTCTCATAAAGATTTATTGTTGTTGTTTAGTGCTGTTGAGTCCATTTCCAGGGAGCAGTTAGTGGGTTTGAACTGCCAAGCTTGAGGATAGAAGTCCAGTGCTTGATTGCAGACTAGAAAACCTTACTAGATGGTTCTACTCTGTTACATGGGGTTACTGTAAGTCAGAATAAGCTTGACAGTGCCCAGCAACACTATGTATTCTACAGACATTTCTCTAATTTATCAGAAAACGTGTATTTCAATAAAGGTTGAGTAATTGAATGGTTTACATAAGCTAAGTATCTCTTTTGAGCAAGAAAAGGGAATTCATGATAGCCTATGACTAGGGGCAATGCCATCAGGGAAAAAAGTATTTATGATGGTTTGTGGTTGTTAAGTGCCGTCGAGTCGGTTCCGACCCATAGCGACCCTGTACAGGGTTTCCGAGGGTGTATGATGGTTTAGAGAAAGATTAATGAAGTTAAATGGGACAGAACAAATATAATTTAAATCTGTGTTTTTAAAGTAAGAAAACGGTTATCATTTTTTACATCTAGATGCAGCAAACATTTAGTTACTTTATAATACTCGGTCAGTATTTTGGGGATAATTGTGATTTAGTTTCCTGTTCTTAACACAATGCATAGCACATAGAAGGTAATCAGTATTTATGTGTTAACTGATTTCACATCTGAGTCTGCAACTTGAGTTCAGTTCACCTTATGTCAAATGACAGATCCTTAAAATCACCACTGTGCCTTTGTAAAGACTTTGTTTTTTCCCAGCCACTTAGCAAGTTCCAAATGACCTTTCCTTTGATTTAGGAGTGAGGCTGTTGTAGCAGGATCTAGTCTTGAAGTTTGCCCTAATAACTTGAGGAGGAAGCATGACTGTTGTTTGTAAACCCATGAGTACTGAAATTGGAAAGTCACATACTTCTTGTTGTTAGGTGTCATGGAGTTGGTACTGACTCATAGCGACCCTATGTACAACAGAAGGAAACACTGCCTGATCCTGGGTCAACCTCACTATTCTTGCCATGCTTGAGCCCATTGATGCTGCCACTCTGCTAATCCATCTTGCTGCGGGGGGTGGAGGGGGGCCTTCCTTGTTTTCTCTGACCCCTCCACTTGTGGTGGTTATGTGCCGTGGAGTCGGTTCCAACTCATGGTGACCCTGTACAGGGTTTCCGAGGCTGTAAATCTTTACGGGAGCAGAAAGCCTCATCTGTCTCCCACGGGACAACTGGTAGTTTCGAACTGCTGATCTTGAGGTTCGCAGCCCGATTCGTAACCACTACGCTACCAGAGCTCCTTGCAGAGGAACTTGATAGCTTTTGGAAACTTTTTGTGGAAGTGAAAAAAAAAAAATTCCTTAAGGTCTGATTTAACTTTATTCTTACATTTTGTTTTATTTACTTATATTTTTTACTGAGACTTTGAAAGTTGGGTTTTGTTACAGAAATGATAAAAATATGACTGATAAAGTATGTAACATTGAAGGAAGTTTAAGTTTACTTATCACTAATTAAGCATGTTTCTCTCTGCAGGTGTAATTTGGCTTCCTGAAATTCTGTTTTAGCAAGAAGACAGTAGGAATACTCTTGGAAACAAAACTGAAATTATAGTAAGCCAGAATTTGTTTTTACATGGTTGTCAGCTCACTTACCAATATGGACACCTTTCCCAACAATTTTCCTCCTGCTGGAGACAGTGGACTGACTAGTTCTCAATCTGAGTTCCAAAAAATGTTAATTGATGAAAGATTACGATGTGAACATCATAAAACAAATTATCAGACTTTGAAAGCTGAACATACAAGGTAAATTATTTAAATTTAAATTTATTGGGACAGTTTGAATGTTTGCTCTGGAAGATATAATTGTTGTGCATTAAAAACTTTTTGGTACAATAAAGTTTCTGCTTTAAAATCACTGTATCAAACTGATTCTGATACTTAAGTGGGGTATGATTTTTATAAAATTCTTGTTTTTAAAGTTGTATGACATATCTGATTAAATGTATGTAGATGAGTGAAATGTATTTTTTGTCCCCTGGAAATAAAATTGCATTAAGAAACTATAATCCCACCAACTGCCATCAAGTCTGTTCGGATTTAAAATAATTAAATGAAAAGATATTTGTCTGTTTAATGGAATATATACTGGTCTTGTCATTCTGTAGTATTGGTTGACTTAATATAAATAAGGTAATGAAATTTAGAAAGCAAAAAGTACACTTAACATTCATTCCCCCCTTCCCCCCCATATATCAGGTTGCAGGATGAGTACACAAAGTCACAAAATGAACTCAAGAGACTGTTAAATGAAAAGCAAACTCACCAGGAAAAATTTCAGCTGCTGCTTGAAGAGTTAAGAGAGGAATTAGTAGAGAAAACTAAAGATTTAGAGGAAATGAAGCTGCAGGTGAGAAAATATATTTGAGTTAGTATCAAATTAGTTTAATATTTAGTGGAAGTCAGTAGTTTTGGTAAATTCTCTCTAAATTCTTTGTATATTCTCTCTAAATTCTTTGTATATCTCAAGTTCTCCGGGTGGTATAATTTAATCTTCTTTTATGGATTCTAGAATGTTAGCTACCATGTAGGGTAGACTATGATTATATAAATATAGTTTTATCTAAATTGATATTATATTATCTATTCAAATTTAAGTAACATTTCACTGTTTAAAAAAATTGGGAGGAATTGAGTTGATGAAAAGGTAATATTTTTAAAGAAAGGTTTAATAGTTTCTCTGTAGGTATTGCAACTGAAACTGAGCTAATAAAATACTGATAATTACTCTTATGAAGCTTCTTAAAGGACTTTGTAAAAGCAATATATGCACATAATTTATGAAAGGTGAATGGAGTTTTAAAATAAGAAATAGTTGGTATTCAAATAGTGAACTAAACAGTTTCTTTAGGTACTTTTCACACTATTTTTCAGTTACCTAGAAGGTAGAGAAAAGAAAAGCTTTATCACCAAACTTATCATAAGTTTCAAATTGTTGTTGTTGTTGTTAAGTGCCGTCGAGTCGGTTCCGACCCATAGCGACCCTGTACAGGGTTTCCGAGGGTGTAAATCCTTACGGGAGTAGAAAG